ATGCATTTGTACACCATGCACGTGTAGGCTGCTGCATGCATGTGCTCATGTGTGTGCACTCGTATGTGTTCTTAGGCATGTGTGTACTTATGCATGTGTGCTCAAGTATATATGCGCTTATTCATGTGCTCACGTGTGTTCTCCTGCATGTTCGTGCATGTGTACACTCATGCATGTATGCTCACTCATGTGCATGCATATGCTCATATGTGTGCACTCATGCATTTGTACGTTCATTTGAGTGTATTTCTGTGTGTGCTCATACTTCTGTATATGTATGCTCACGTATGTGTGCACTCATGCATGCACATGCTCCTGTATGTGCTCATGCATGTGTGTGCTTGTGTGTGTGCTTGTACATGTGTGTGCTGGCAAGCGAACTTTGGATATAGCCTGTGGGTTTTTGTCCTGTGTAAGTAAATGTTGTGTGGAACCTTCCACAGCTTCATTGTCACAATCTGTTAACTGGGGCCACTGAGGGGCAAGTCATCCTCTCTAGCACTAGGACGGGGAAAATACCAGGTCGTGGAAGTTGCTCCATGATTGGTTTGTGAGAAGCGATGAGAATGTTCTTGGGGTTGTATTAATTACTTTTCTGTCCCTATGGCAGATGGCTGACAAATGCAACTTGCGGGCAGGGGATTTCTCTGGGCTCAGTGTCATGGTGGGAAAGGCACAGCACCACTCACAGTGGTTACATGACAGCAGTAGTGGGGCGTGGCTTGCTCAGATCACAGTGGCTGACTGGGGGAGCAGAGAGGTCCAGGTCAGATGTGGCCAGGCTGTAACTTTTAAGGACCACTATGCAATGACCCATTTTCTCCAGCCAGACCCAACCTCTTAAAGGTCCCACAACCTCTCTAAACAGTTGCACAAGTTTTCAAACACATGAGCCTGTTGAAGACATTCCATATTCAAACCACAGCAGGGTCACATGCTCAGCAACTCATAGCCTAGAAGCTGTCCTCATGCATAGCCCTGTGGTGCATAAAGCTCCAGCGTCCATGGTTGGTCCCTTCCCCTCCCCACTGGCTACAACAGAGGGTACACTCTTACCAAGGGTAAAGCACTTGTTGGCTGTCCAATACCAAACATTCTTTTTCTTAAAACTTGAAGAGATACAGGTGGATGCCAGCAGTGGGCTCTGATGATAAACCATCCACGGAAGGAAATAAAACCATCCTGAGCCTGTTTCTGAGACACAGTAACGATCTATGAAGGGAAGGGGTTGTCCCACAAAGGGGGATACACAAGAACAGATTTCAGACAGCCCACAAGGACAGACAGGCTAAATAATTTCCTGCCCCCTCCAACCCAAGGTTATAAAACTTTTTGAAGGTATGGCTTAGCTAGCCCACTGTTGCAGGCAGGCCTCCAAGGTGATACCTACTTCTGTCTGCCCCAGTCTCTCTGTGTTCTGTCCATCAAGACATGAGAAAGCTGTGCTACAAGCTCCCACTGTCACGGACCAGACACTTGTCCCTATGCCTTCCTCACCATGATATGCTGAACCCTTTGGAACTGTGAGTCAAAATAAGCCTGTCCTCAAGCAGCAAGGTGACAGGGATGAGAAGAGAAGTTAGTACAGCTGCCTGGCACCCCTCTTCCTCATCATGGAACTGTCCTGGCCAGCCTTGAGGCTGGCTATCTGCAATGCCTTCCCCTGTTCCAGGTGAACCTGGCAGTCTGAAATACTTGGCACTGCCACAAAGCCCCTAGGCGTCAAAGCACCACAACTGACACAATGAACATATTTAAGGAATTAATACTAAGTGCAAACTTCTGTAATAGGAATTAGCTCTAAGTTTCATATGTTAGCTATGAGATCAGCCTTCAGGAAGCTGGCAGTCCCAGAGGTGGAGAGGAAGTACTGGGGGAACTCACGGGAGAGAGTCATTCCCACGGAGAGAACCTGAAGAGAGAGAGAGTGGGGAGTAGGTTGTGATCCAAGGAGGCCAGAATCCTGGCAGAACTTAGGAAAGGCAGGTTGTCCAGGTACAGGAGGTGAAGGGCCTGCTACTGAGCTAGGCCCTGGGCTGGGGTCACATAGTCAGGGCTTAGAGCCTACCTTTTGTGCTTTCCAGCTATAGAATAGTCCCAAACATTAACATATATAGAGAGAACAGGTTCTCTCTAGTCCTTAACTTGGATAAACTATGTACAAATGAGAATAGACTCGTGGGCCCATCTCCACCATTTGAGCATAAAAGCTTTTTAGCACGTTCACACATTCCTTCACCTCTATTCCCTCAGAACTGTTAATCGTTCCCTTCTTGGATGCTCAGTTATCACTTGATCTGATAATGGTGAGAGCTCCGGGCACAATGCTTTCAAAGTTAGGAAGTAAGTATCCTGTATACTTGGCAATCAATTCAAAAGAGGCTGATGCTCTTGTGGGCAATACTTTCTTTGCATTTATAGGTAGCTCTGAACAATGTCACCAAAGAGAACTACATACGTTACCTAATGTTGGTATGGCAGCATGTATTCCTTCAATGTCTCCCCGACAGGAAGTGACACAGCTATGCCTGATGAGAGGTGAAGGACACAGAGGTGAGAAGGCAGTCTAGCTCTTGGCCGCTAGAGGAAGAGTTCACAAACTGAGGTTCCTCACACTAGGAAAGTGTGGCCAGGCCCCAAACTGCTGCAGGGTGGCAGCCATGGGTGCTTGGCTTCTGGCTAAGCTGGGCTTTGTCCACTGCCACCCAGAGTAGCCATTGGTAAGTCAACACCACTCTCTGGGCCTCATGTTCTTCAGCAATTAAACAATTATTTTCATGCCTGTGTCTCTATGGCTTGGCCATCTACCCACCTTGACCTCCTGCTTTCTCAGAATGTTGGATAGGTGTTGAGGCCATACCCAGCATCTAGGTCAGATGCCAGCTGGTCTTAGATATGGCATTAGAGAAGCCTCATGACTGCAGTCTCTTCATGGCTTGGAAGTGGACTGGGCCATTCTGGGACCCAGGTGTCCTGCAGACCTGGAGACCAGCCTAGCAGAAGCCACTGTTGGGACAGACAGGACAGGCTGCAAGGCCGCAGCTGCACTTGTCAAGTGACCAGGGGCTGGGAGCTGGCAGAACAGTATTTATTCATTCACATCCAGAATTCACATGAGCCATGGTTCGCTTGGCCTGTCCTATCTTTAACACTGTTTAAACTGATAACTAGTGGCACCTGTTTATTTCTTCCCAAAACACCTTTTTCTTAATGGGAGGGGGGTAGTTCCCCTCCATGCCTACCTCCTATACTCTGCCTCCTGTTTTCAAGTCTAAATTGGCTACCAAAGAATTTTTAAAAAAATGCATTTCCAGCTCATCTTGGGGAGAGCTACAGCTGGTCCCAAGGCTAGGCACTAGCATGGTTTCTGCAAACACGCATGCTTCCTCTCTTTCTATCCATAAGGCACTCTTCAATGCAAAAGCCACTCTCTACTTCCTGAGTTAGTCAGCAAACCTCAGAAACGCAGAAGAGGTAGATCCACTGAGACAGTTCTCCTCCATATGTAAACATCCCAGCACCACACAAAGCCACATATCTGAGCACCTCACTCACGACATACTGCTTGCAAGGTCAACTGTACCTAGTCACCTACCTGTCTGGCAAGAGGCTCTCTCTGATAGGTCTCAGGAACCTGATTCCACACAAGGGGATTGTAATTCCTGAGTACAGGATTCAAAGGGGGTTCTGCATATTAAACAAACACTGTGAGCAATATAAGCTCTGTAGGATACACCAAAGAAATGGAATCAAAGTCAGCCTCAATAACTGTGATCCAAGTTGAACAATACAAATATACTCAGCACAAAACTAGAAAGAACAGGAGAGAGGAGAAAACCAAGGCCCAGTTTGCCTGATAAAAATTAAAGCTGTCTTAACCCTCAGCCATCTTGTCCATAAGAACTCTCTTCCAGACTCACATTTCCCAGGGGCCATGGCCAACAAGAGTTAAGTCCAAGAAGTAGCAGACAGAGGTGTGAATGCTAAAGGGCAGAGTTAAAGAGCAGTTTCCTGGCTTTCCACCAGGGATTCCCTCCCAAGCCTGGCCCCCAAGGTTAATGTTGACCTGTGGGAAAGAGCCCTTCCCACTTTGTTGCTGCCCAACAATCACCATGTTGACTGCTCTACTAAACAAAGTCCTGTCCACTGTCTGAAAACTGTGGACCAATCAGGAAGAGGTTTTTTTCCTAGCAATGAGTTGTGAGGACATTCACTTTATCTACTACCCTTTCTGGTTATTTCTTTGAAAAAAATGGACCCCAGCTTCTTGTGTCTTGCTCCCTCTGGTTGGTTACACCCAGCTTCAGAATTTCCTATACACTTAGAGGTCTGCCTCTCCATACTTTTCCTGTCCTAAGCAGCATTAGAGACAAGCACAATTTTATGGAAGGATGGTATGTGTTTTCTTGAACTGAAACTGCTTGCAGAGAGTTTGGGGGTTCCTTCTCATGCCAGCTGAAATTCCCATTTCCCCAGCTGCACTGCCATCCTTTTCTGTCATAAGGACACCCACAGGTGACAGCTGTGTTTAGATGGGACATCCACACAAGGGCAATGTGTGCACAAAGGGAAGATGGGTTAAAAGTCACTGTAGCAATATGAGTACACAAATGGGAGGAATACATGGCCTTTCCAACTCTGGGAAACCTGTAACATATTGAAATGCATCCTGAGAAAGCCAAATGTGCTGAATGCGAGGGTGGACATGCATGAGCTTTACAGAGCTCCAGAATGTTTTCCTATCAGCAGAGGCTGAGCACTTTACAAAGGAAGAGAAGCAGAGGCTGGAGATGCAGTACTTGGCTTGGTGGAATCTCGTTATGCCACAGGGAATGAAGGCCAGCTACCCTAGCCCTGCAGCACAGCAAGAAGTATCCTTGTCCTTGACCCCTCTCTCCCTCCACAGTCCCAGCCAAACAGGAAGAGTTGATTTACTTACATATAACCCAACGCCAAACTCCCAAGTCAAAAGAAAACGCTGGATCAACACTGAAGCTTACCCCGCCTCAGAAGTAGGAGTGCGCTGGCGCTCCCTGTGGCCTCTGGGCTTGCTGTGGCGGCTCTCAGAGTTGTTCACGTGTCCTGTTCCCAGGGATGTCCCTCTGTGGGCACGGGCTGCAGAGCCATCCTCGTACCCATTCAACAGGCCTTGGCCAGCTCGGGTCTTTGTCCTCGTTGGCCGGCGTCCCTCGGGAATGTCTTCACGTGGTGCTGGGGGGTCTCGGGATGGTTTGTATCCATGAGAAATCAGGAGATCTTCCACACTGTACATGATGTAGCGTCATCAAAGCTCATGAGCTGGAACCATCGTGGTGGCAGGACCTATCTCTGGAAAGATAATCAAGCGCTACATTTGTAAAAGTCCCCTTACCTGCACCGAAGCACAGCACCCGCAGCATCCACACGGAAGGGGTGCCAGTGTACTTGTTCTGACTGAGACCAGCACCCAGGTCCTCGAGGAGGCTAGCAGCAGGATGCAGCACTGGCCCACGGGGCATGGTGGAGTCCACAACTCTCACTCTCTGAAGTCAGCCTCTTAAAGAAGAGGCTGGGATGGTGGGTGAGCTATGAAATGATGGCCACTGCCCACCCACCTCCTGCCCCACTCATATGAAAGCAGCAGGCTGAGCGGGTGAGGGCAAGAAAACAAACGCGGAAGCTGCAATTACCACTCTATGTTTCTAAAAGGAGAAGCTCCGGGGGTCCAGCTCCGTCTTATTATATGTCCTGCTTCCATGTGTACACAGACCTAGTCCTCTGAGGGGCTGGATCTTTAATCAGTACATAGCCATGACACACTTCCGTGGAGCTTCTCAGTAGAGAAGCAACTGCATGGGCAGTGCCTGGTAGGTAACCAGCAGCTGGAAATAGATTCTAAGTCTTCAGGCACACATGAGAAAACAAACAAGATGCTTGCCCCATCTGGCCCCTCAAACTCGCAATCCTCCTGCCTCAAGTTTCCAAGTCCTAGAATCACAGGTGTGTGCCAGCCAGCTGTGAAACTTTTGTGAATTCAGTTTCTTCCCAGGGATTTTGTAGAAAGTTTTGCATCTCTTAGTTAAGGGTAGCCATAGGCAGATCTGGACTGGAGACCTGCATGCTCAGCAGCTTACCCCAATATTTGTCCAGAAGCAAGAGGACCTAGGAGGGAGAATGAAGAGACCGCTGGGCAAACTGGTCTGGAGGCTGGTTCTGACTCTGGCCTGGGCTCCACAGGTCAGGGAGCTCCATCCCCTGGCCCGCTTCATTGGTGGATAGAAACAGAGTTGCTGAAGCCACAGGAACAATGACCAGGAAACTTTTTCTGGCCAGTGTGCAGGTGTGAGGAAGACATCTGTACTTCCTGTCAGTGGGAATTCTCCGAGTCCCAGCACTGCTCTGCTGACCACCTGCTCATCCACCCCCAAGTCTGTCCACCCCCCACGCCCCCAC